AGGAGGGGAACCAAAGAAAGTCTATAAGACAGATGAAACAACATAAAAAATACGAAAAAACCAAAAAAAATTAAAAAAAATTAAATATCAACAGAAACAACAAACACGGCACCTCTGCTATTGGGGGGCTATCGTCTAGCGTTTAGGGTTTAGGGTTTAGGGTTTAGGGTTTATGGGTTGTTAGGATTAATTTATTTTTTAATATACTTAATGATTTATTTATTTGTTTTTACTTTATATTTTATATGTTGACGTTTAATCGATATATTTTCCTGGTTTAGTTGTTTATTTGTTTTCTCTTTTTCATTCATATTCATGTTCTGGTTTATTCATTTTCAGATTTATAAACATAAAAATAAATATATTTAGTTTCCTCTATAGTTTTATTTAAATGATCATGTACTTTATTTATTTATTTATTTATTTATTTATTTATTTTTTTTTTTTTATTTTTTTTCTGTTTTACTTAGATAAGAGAAAGAGTTTGAGGCTCCTTAAGGGCCATTTGCTTCCTCTTTCTTCATCGTAATTTTCTGCTGTTTTTTGAATTGCAACATTTGTTAAATGAACGCCTAAAAATAAAACAATTTAAATAAAAAAAAAAAATATAAAATGGAAAATATAACATGTAAAATACAAAATACAAAATGATATATCTGCCTGTTGAAAACCTGAAATGTGTTAATATTTTTTTTGTTATTGTTTTTTTTTGTTGTGTTGCAGCTTATTTTTGTTATTCTCGTTGTATTTGTTTTTCTTTTTTTTTGTGTATTTCAGCAATTGGCTCCTTGCTTTCTGTGTTTTTCTTTTTTTGTGTTTTCGTTTGAACTACAAGGTCGATTCGCATTTTTCCTTTTAGCTGTTTCATACTATTCTGTAAATGTTTATTTTATTTTATTTTATTTATCAATTGATTTTAATTTAATTTAATTTATTTTTAATTTTTTAATTACTTAAATTCGTCCTCTGGTCCTCTTGCATGCTGAAGTGTAGACTCGAAAAACGAGCGAAACCCCCGCGGTATAGGAAAGCAGTCTGCAGCAGCGCAAACAAAAAATTTTATAAATAAATTCAAGTTACAGCTTTCAGTAACAATATAGCAGCATCAGCAACAGCAGCAACAGAAGCAGCAACAGCAGCAACAGAAGCAGCAACAGCAGCAGGAGATACCGTCACAGCTGCTATTGCAGCAAGGGCGATTCATAGAATCAAAAAGAAGCAAAAGAAATGAACAAGAAACGAAACAAAAGGCAGCAGAATAAACTAAAAAGAAGAAAAAACAAAGTACAGCCGACAAGCTGCATATAGGAAATCAACGAAAAGGTGTTTATATATGCATTTATATAATTATAAATTGATGAATAATCAACAAAACCATCAGAATAAATAACGATAAAGAAATAAT